TTTATAATCACAACTTTACGCGTAAAACGTTTAGCTAATAATACGTCACCACATCAAAAGTTTTCTATGTATATTTTACTAGKTGTAAAAAACTAGACGGCAAATCTTCATTTTTCATTTTTCCACCTAGTATATTTTACCAGGTGATAAAAGGCTAGACGACAAATTTTCATTTTCCAGAAGTCCCTCGTTAAAAGATTAAAATAGTTCTTTTGCGTCACTAACAYCAGCACGCGCCAAAAATATATTAACGTCAAAACTTGAGATGTCTGAAATTAACACTTGTACGTAGCTGGCTCTGCAYGCTTACGCATAGCACTGGCTACTATTACAAGCCAAATGGAGTTTTTAGTACAACGTAATGATACGTAGGCTGTCGTGGAAGTCGTTAACTGATAGGTCGAAAGTGTTTATGTAAATTACAAGACAGCAGCTATAAAAGTGGATTGCTATGCGACCCTYTGCAGTGTAGCGTCTTAAGTCTGTGTTTGTGTCTTTAAAAGGGTACGAAGCTGTGCGGAAGTTGAAACTGGTCGATATCAACTGAGATCGTCGAGAGAAAAGTGGATTACAAATCAACAAGGTAAGTAGGATCGATTCTATTTTCTAATTTTTATAACTATCATAGTTTTCCTCCTTAAAATTCCTCTATACTTAATTATCTAATATATGTTTTTCAAGACATTTTGATCAGTATTCTTTTTTGATCAGTTATTCTTCTTTGATCAAGTATTCTTTTTTGATCAGTTATTCTTCTTTGATCAAGTATTCTTTTGTGATCAGTTATTCTTTTCATTCGATTTTTGGCTAGTTTTAATCGATGCATAACAATCTCCTCAAGACATTCAATGTGGCTCTAAGCCAATATTGCAAATAAGTACACATATATCTTAATAGAACAAATGCGCTCCTTCTTTTATCTTAGATTGAGTCAAAGTGAACCTGCATGAAGCACTTTTTACTCATGCATCCTCAATAATTGCCATTCAAGTTGTTTTCTTTTATCAGTTTTAACCAGCCTTTAGACTTTGTTTCACAGATTCAATGATAAAACCATGAAATGATTACTGTTTGTAAAAAAAAGTGTGATTGGGTAGTTCCAGAAAATATCCGTACCATACGACGGGCGGCATCGATTTTCGACCCCCCCTCTCCCTGGGAAATTCCGAAATTGGGTATCCCCCCTCCCCTTAGGAATTCCAAAATCGTGTTTTGCCCCCCTAGGAAATTAATATATATATATTCTCTTCAAAACAAGCACTGNACAAAACCACACACTGTCAGTCGCATTCAGAACAGCTCTTTTTACATATTCAAGTTGCCTTAGTAACTTTTCAATTCTTGGAGATATAATATTTTTTTATATTTAGAGTGACGTTATCCTAATGAACATAAGTAAAAATTCATTACATATGAGACAGAATTCAATCAAATGAATTTTGCCTGGAGTTAAGTTCAATTTATTACAATGGCATTGGAGTCACTGGCTGAGAGCTCATTAATCATATGTCTAACATGGATGATTTTTTTAAATGTTGCCTTTGTTTTTTATCTGCTTTGCTTAAATGTAAGAATTAATTGTCTGAAAGCAGTAAATCAAAACATGAATGCAAAAGTATAAATGAATACCTCTTAATTATGTATGTGCTTTTGTTATTTCCACCTTCCTTTCTCTCATTCTTTCTATTTTTTCTTCATCTAATTTCCATCCATTTTGTATTCATTACATCAGTTGATTGATTGAATAGCTTGTTGATAGTTATATATTGGTTAKTTGGCTATAGGAATAATTGATTTGTAGGTACTWTGCTAAATGGTTGGTTAGTAGGCTAATAAATCACTTGTCAAATTTCTTTATAAATGAATATGTCATGTATAATGTCTAAAAGAACAACACAAAAATAGGAGTAGAAATCCTTCACCTACTCTCAATCAATAATAGCTAGTAGAACGTACARTCTGATTGGCTGGTGATAGTGGCTGCATCACATACAGTCACATGACAGGCCCTAGGCCTGTATTGATATTGATATGAGAATTTCACTATAAATGTTTTGGCTAAAAAGCTAATACCAGAGCTGTTTGGTATTAATCCATTAGACTGGCCTCTACGATATCTCATAGCCTGTTGTTTTTAAAATGTGACAAATGCCCTGAAAGGATATGTCTGAGACTATAAGACACCGACTGCAGAAGACACTCATTAATTGAAAAATAATTTTTACAGGTATATGACTTCCGTCCTGTTTTCACACCGCTTTAGATTACATCTTCAATATTGTCAGACATTGGTTACCGAATGTTAAATACTAAAACTCTGGTCGTGAACTAGAACTTTATTACAGCAATCTTACAAGACAAACATGGCCGTTCTCTCTCGAGCACATGGTTCCGCGCGCATGCGCGTAACGACTGACGTGAGCATAATGAATATATAACACCGAAAGATTCATTTCAAATCTCGAGAATCCATCCACTGCCGAAAGATATAACTTAATGTTTTAGGTTAATGACACTGAATTGGGAAAGGCATAGTGATCGAAAGCGGAAAGCCCCACGACTTTTCAATGCAAAATAATCAAAGATAAAAAGAGCCGCTAGTTAAATTGGTTTAAAAAAAGGGAAAAAAGCTAAAGCTGGAACTGTAAACAAGCAGTAATCAGAGTACATCGCCCCATGATAAATTGGCTTGCCAGCCGCCATCTTGCCCGTTTAACTCTCCAAAATCTAAAGTTATGCAGACTAGCGTAGGCTGTTTTCGATGAATAGTGCTTTCCACAGCAGGAAATGGATAAGAATATACTAATTCGGGTAAAAATCATACCTGTATTGGYAGCAATAAACAGACTTTTCTCCATCTCACCGAGTTTATTATTGGAATCAAAGCTTTRTTTATAACGCGCGCGCGCAGTTTTTCCCGCCTAAACCACAGGSAGCCCAAACCAGAGTTATCATTCATTTCAATCAACGATGGTGACCATTTAAAAATGTGAAGCCTTTTTTATAAACGAAGAATTCAGAAAGTTTTAGTAATTCAGAGATGAACAACTCCATTTAGTAGTATGTATTAGCTAATATTTGTAAAAGAAGAGTGTTATTTACTCACTTTAAGTGCTCTCTGTTTATGTCATCAGTGATAATATATGATTTCGGCATTGCCTGCCAGCGACTAATTATTGAGTGTATATATATGTTTCTACACTAAAGATATAAAACTAGACGAATTAAGCTAGTAAATTGTAATCTTGAGCTCGAAAAGGAAAATATTTCATAATGTCGTGGTACGCTAAACAGCTCTTGACTTCAATCACTGATATGATTGCAGTCTGAAATCCATGGGAAAAAAGAATTATCAATTGCAACCGTAGCCATTGTAATTGTCGTAGCTGAAAGGTTTTTTTTCTTTCAGTATTAAAGCCATCTTGACAATTTAATTCTATTGATAAAAACTAAGCCTTTTTTTCCAATTGTTTCATTCGTGGTACTTATCTCACCGCTGCCACGATTCCAATAAACGGATTATAAATAAGTAGTTCAGTTTGATTTGCCTGAACTTGACAGTTCCCATATAAATCTGGTACCTTAACTACAACACCAATTTAACTTAATTGCCATGGCAACAAAACAATAAARAGGATGTACACTTTGCCGCTGACTTTTTTCCGCGTTTTCTCCAATGTGTGTTTTTTTCTACGGTTTGAGTCATGTTTCAGCTTTTTTTTCTTCGTCTCGTTTTTAAAACCTCTTAAAGATTATAAAAATCGTATTCACTACATGATCATTTGCAGAGCTTTACTCTGCTATCTTATGATCAGTTTTCATCTTCCTTCCTCTAAGTTATCTATTGATTTTGACTGTGTTCTTTCCTTATAGTTCTATCCATAATCATATAGTCATGAGTTGTCTTTGGTCGGTGTTTCAATTGATCTTTGAGTATCTGCCCCAGTTTGCTAGATAATCAGTTTGCAGTAAGTCAATGTCTAGCATTGACATGAATACTAGTCACCATATTGCAGATGTTCTCACTCATGTACTACCTCACTCATGTACTACCTGCATTAAAACTCCCTTACTTCAGTATTATAGTCATCCTTTTATTCATTTTGTTTCATCCATTCGTCACCTTTTTCATTTTCCGTAATAATCTGTTTATGCATCCATTCATTTTTTATTAACAATTTGATTCAACCATCCATCTTTGACTTTTTCCTAGTACTTCTCAATGCAGTACTATCATGTATCCATTACTCCATCTATCTATTTCACTCATTTGTTCAACTTGACCATTATTTACTTTAAAGTTCATTTTCAAGAGAAAAGAGAAATTTAAGATAATAAACTTCATATTTCATATATCTCATATATTGATCTATCGGTGACGTTGTTTCCCTCATGTCAAACTGCGTCATTTCCTTCTTTTCATTCTGTATGGAATTTTCTCTTATTGTTCCATTGTCTTTTCCGACAATTTAAACCATCATGAGTCTCTTTAAATCTAAATCCTTTCCGTATGTCGATCGTTTCGGCATACTTTGAGCAAACATTCACAACACGACATAGTGGTTTCCGTGGCAAACTACACTAAAGAGCAAATATTTGAGTTAAAATGTCTTGAAAGTGTAAACATTTATGTACAGTTTAACTGCCAACGTACTTCATGCTCATTACATGTCATTCATAAACAAGAACTTTGGATTTTGGAGTTGATAGCATACGAGAATAGGAAAAGAGAAGGTATTACAGAAAATCGTCTTGACTCAAAGTCTTAGCAATAGATGTTCTGTCTTGCAAGGTGAGGGCGAAGTAGCTTAGTATATGCGTTTGCTTTTCAAACATCGCTTCGCCTTTTTTCTAGTTTATTTGTTTTTGTAATCTTGTCRCCTTTTGGTTTGCATGTTCGTTTTTTATGCTTCTTACTATACCAATCGTTACTTTTCTTTACATGAAACTTTTAAGTGATTAGTATGTTACATATCTTATACCTTATCACTGACTAATGCGACTGTATCTGTTTGAAAATAACAGTTGAAAGAAATTAGTTTTTGCTTTTTCTTTACAATTTTCTTCAATTAAGTATAAAACAATATAGTCGATTCAGTTAGTACAACTATAATAACTGATTGTGTTCAAAAGTAATGGTGCAAATTGAATATACCAACGAAAAAACGCGTCACATTTAAAACAAAAAAAACAGCTGATAGCAATCAATTTTTCACTTTTAACTCTCACTGTTTTATTGGATCGACTTCACAATCGGAACAGACTAAAAGCAGACGGCGACACATATGTTTGCTAACTAGTTTTTCTCAAGGTTCTATGATTCGCTATATATGCTTTTTTTTCTTATACGCCCAGCAATACGAGCTGCTAGTAACGTCAAAAAATGAAAAAATACTATAAAGTGAAAAAAGACTGCAAACATAGCTTGAGCTTATATCAGAAAAATTAACAACATTTACATCGAGTCTTTTCAATCTTATAAGYGGTTATATCTTTGCACTTATGTTGAAGTTAATTCCATCTTTCAAAAACCTCTACGAAGTACGTGTGGTCGATATATTGTGCTTAGTATTTGACAAAGCCTAGGAGCAATTAGTTTGAAATATGGATCCCATAATTTGGATGTGCCAAGTCCAGAACGATAGATAGGTTAGGGTCCGGAAAACCTCATTAATCTATACGAGTGYTAGTAGGCCCTTGTCAAACATGAACAAAATAGAGCAATTGGTATCTTGCTAAARGCAYATGGCTGATTGCTTTAGGTTTATTTACCCAAAGTGCCCTTCATAGAAGATTTAATTATAAAATTAAATAAAAAATAGTAAAAGAAACAATGGTGACTTTTTTCATGTTAAATATACTATATAAGTATAAAACCATTGTCATTTTCAATGTAATATTTCTGAAATTGGCAATTACGTTTCAGATTCAAAACCTTTTGATGAAATAGAACAAAGTATAGCCGGAAAGACAGTTTAAGGTAGTCAGATTATCTTCAGGAAGTTATAYAAATGTTATTACTGTTAACTAAATCATTACGGAAATAAATAATGCAACTACTATATGTGGGAAAACGATCAGCTACGAGAAAATGAATACTGATTCACGAGAAACAAAGGAAGATTTCGTTCTGTTACGTAACCTCCTTACGTAATCCTTTATTTGGGCGTAAAAATGATAAAAGAGCCTCTCATTAAGCTTCTCTAGGCTTAATTGAACTCATATTGTACCTTAAGTGGTATTTCTTTTCCTGTATGTTGTCAGTGGGATAACTCAATCTAGGAAGTTGGTGCATATCAATGCAGTTGGAGTCCGAGTGTATTCATATAGATATAATGATAATGGTCCTTGTAAAACAAACTGAAAACGATTTTATCTTATAATCAAAAGTAGAGATGTAATATGCCGGCTCAAGGGTTATTATAGTTATTATTTATATTCGTTATTGCAAATTAAATTTGGATGGAATTCGAAATTCTAAGGAAATGGAATAGATAATGTGATAGATTTTATGTTGATTCTTTATCAGTTATTGTTTTGCTTTCTCTCCATCAATATCCTCACTGTTTAGTCCAATATAGTCTCCTTCGCAGCCTCTTCGCAGGGGAGGCTCAGCTGCGGAGGAGACTGACTATGTAATCTTCCTGTTGTTTATCCATTTTTGCCTTTCCGTTTGTTTAATTAATTCATATCCCCTGCGTAAAATCATTTAGAAAGGTGTTGGCGTCAAATCCATGTATTGTTGTCTTTACAATTCTGTTATTCTATATAAGGAAAATCAATAAATCCATTTACCAAATACTTATCTCGTTTGTTCCTTATCAGTTGCTATATTCACATATAAAGGACACTTGTAATACAAGTGGAATGCTTTTAAAAGCAATAAAAGCTTTTCAATGACCATCGACTGATATCTGATTTTGCTTCGTTGAAGGTGAATCTCAAACACGGTTCAACCCATCATGGAACCAAACTCCAACAACACAACAAAATTGTTTTATCCAGAAGCCTCATTCATGGTGGAATCTCCAGAGTCTAAAATAATGAAAGCAGTTGCAATTTCTATCGTTGGATTGGTCGCAGTTGTTGGAAACTGTTTGGTCATGGCTGCTGTATTCCAGAGCACTAAATTACAGACTGTCACCAACTATTTAATTGTTAATATGGCAGTATCAGATTTATTGTACATCATCATCGCTCTGCCTCCGTTCTATTTCGATCTTTTTGAGCTTTACGAGTGGACTTTCAGCACGCACATAAATCGTGTGTACTTTTGTAAGATAGTACACTTTGGTCAGTACTCCTTGCCAACTGTGTCGGTTCTTACTCTAGCCACAATTGCAGTGGACCGTTTCTTTGCTATTGCCATTCCATTAAGACGGATCTTCACTAAAAAAGCATTTTATATCATCGCTACTGCGATCTGGCTTATAGGAGCTGCGGTTGCATCACCAATGTTCTACGCTCAAAAAATTAAATACGACGACATGAGTGGGCATTATTATTGTGATGAAGACTGGAGCCCAGCTTTTGAAGACACCAGACTCGCGTCTCGCATTTACACATTGCTGCTCTTCTCAGTTGTTTACTGCGTGCCCTTCATGGCAATGACTATAATGTACACAATAATATGCAAAAAACTGTGGAAACGAAAAATACCTGGAGAACAGAACGAAACTAACAATAAAACACTAACTGAATCAAGAAAGAAAGTCGTCAAGATGTTAATTGTTGTGTTAATCGCTTTTATAGTGTGCTGGCTACCGATTCAAATAATCTCCTTCGTATGGGAATATGCAGGTGTCGATATTCCGCTAGTTGTGTACTTCATCTGCGGTTTTCTGATACGTACGCATGCGTCGTTGAGTCCATGTATATACGCAATATTCAGTGCTAATTATCGAGCTGGGTTTAAGAAAGCATTATGTTACTGTTGCGTTAAAAAGAACGATCAACTGATACGCAATGACACTTGCTCAAGAAGACCGACTTCCTATCACCATATTGACTCRAGAAGGAACAATAATGGTCGAAAAGACACCTTGGTAATATTGAAAACACGCGAGAAAATGTTAGCAAAATTCGACGATTGACTTGAACCTCTTTCAGTTGATAATTACCGTAACATGCAGACTCGATTCTGAAAAAGCACAATTTATAATCGTCTCTCGTAAGTGTGGGGTCATTCATTAGATATTTCTCTCTCCATTTGACTCATATCGATTCTAAGGAGCGTCTTCTAGTGCAATGGAGACGTACTATTTGTACAATGATTTTGTTTAAACTTATTGAATAAAAGGTGTATATATTTATTGTAATACATGAGTTACTATTTACAGTGAAATATGTGACGCGCGCGAATGAGCCTTGTCATAGTTTGGCACCAATATAAACTCCATAAAGTTTGCCAACCACTGCCCGTCAGACACCATACACGCTAGCAACACGGTCCAAATCAATACGTGCCCAAATCAAGTGGTAACTTTAGATCTCATGATTGTCTGGACTTTGATATGCGTATTAAAGAAAACGTCAGTTTTGTCCAACGTAAATGCATATACTTACGTAAACGCAAGTTGTGCACACAAAGTATACTGCCATGCAAGTGTGTTTCAGCCGTAGGCAAACGTTATGCAGTAGATATCAGCTTTTTAAGCACTACCTTATAAATACACTCATCTGTTTAAGCAAAAAGACGTACTAAGCACTGATATGGCTCACAAGAACTTGATGTCGAAAACATATTCTGATTTTTTCTCAGTAAACCTTCTAGATCAATCTTTCCCTCTTCAGTCGTCACTATCTGGTTTAACTGTCACTATTTCTTTAACCCCTTACGTACCATCTTAATCAACATTTCCAAATCATTATAATCGATTAATAAATGCTCAAAATCAGGTTTTCCTAGTCAGGTTATACCACCAATACCAGGAACTGTAAACTATAGGAATATCCCACTAAAAATGCAGTCTCAGGAAGACTTTGTAGGAAACTTTTACAGGCACCTGGCGTCCAGGCCCTCTCTATCCACTAAGATCAGTTACGTCATATATACCATGATGCATCTGTCTTATAACACCCACTAATCTAACCATAATAATTCATAGCCTGTTGTCCATATTGCTGTCTTGGTGTGACCGAACAGCATTCTGGTGGGCAATTCATAGCGCATGTCTGGCTACAGGCCGCTGGGCAACTTGATCGTTGGTCGTTATAATCGTTAAGGGGATTCTGTGGTGCTTGATAAGCTGCATAGGGGTTGTTATAGTAACCAGACTGAGGGTTGTAATTAGGGGTCTGGGAGTCGTACATGTTAGGTTCATCCGCTAGTGCAGGCTCTAAAGGCTTTTGTCCTGGTTTGTTACCGTACAAATAGGCTCTAATCTCCTCTCGACTTAAACCTTTATAGCAACACTGTGGTGTGCAGGGCGGTTTGCAGGTGGAAGGACAAGGTGCTGGGCAGGTTTCCGCCGGAGGAAGTGGTGTTGGGACGTTTGTTTTAGTAACCTTTGGTTTAGGGGTCGGTGAACAACAAGAAGTGGAGCAATCAGGAAAACATTTTGGCGGGTTCTTGCATGGTAATGGGCAAATCTAATCATGAAATAATTATCAATGTAAATATACTGTAAGTGCTGTTTTAATAGTACTTTGTTGCTTCTAGAGTCTTCTTACCTTAAATATCTTGGGATTCTGGTGACACTTATAAATAACCTTCAAGTATTTATAGACTCCTGGGCAAATTGTTGTGTTGTCTTTTGCTAAAAACTTGTTATTTACTGCAACTTCGCATTGATTTTCATGTCCACAGAGGTTGAATACCTAAATAAAGAAAAGTAGAAAATATAGATAACATGCCATTCCTGGTAATAAACACCATGCCATTCCAGGCACTAGGTACCATACCATTACTGGAAATAAGTACCATGCCATTCCTGGCACTAGGTACCATACCATTACTGGAAATAAGTACCATGCCATTACTGGCACTAGGTACCATACCATTACTGGAAATAAGTACCATTCCATTACTGTAAATAAGTTCCATACCATTACTGGAAATAAGTACCATGCCATTCCTGGCACTAGGTACCATACCATTACTGGAAATAAGTGCCATTACCAGCACCGAGTACCATGCCACTACTGCCACTAGATACTATGACATTACCTTTTCATTCACATGATGCTCTTGATCATTACACGTTCCTTTAGAAGGAAGTACGTTATGATGACACGTGGTGTTAGCATCCTTTTCCCGCCCATAGAAAGTACTATACATGATAATCTTGTCTGACCGGTTTGGGCACTTCATCTTAAGCTTGTGTCCTTCACAGGCCGTCGCGGTCAGTTGCTGCCGTTTTAGATATTCAGGCATTGGCGGAGGCTTGGGATTGCAACACACCTCATCGCATCCTGGTAAGCACCATTTAGGGCAGTTTCCTGGACAAAAGGTTCTTGGTGTTGGTGGTGCTGGGGGTTTTGTAGGGGCGTAAGTAGCAGTTGCTTTTGCATCAGCCTCGTCTTTACGCTCGTTATAATCAGCCAATTTCTTAGCATAACGATCTCTCTCTTCTTGTGCGTACTTATAATACCTCTGTTCATAATCAGCGAGTCTTACCGCGTCATTCGCGGTAGGCTGGAAACGATTGAACGCTGAAGCTTCCGGTCGAGCATATGCAGAGACCTGGGGCTGATCATACTGTCTGGCTTGCAGCCGGTCATAGGTTGGCGCCTGAGGCCTATCGACCGGTGCATATGGCTGAGGTCTATTGTTTGCGTAAGCCTGGGGCCTGCTAGCCGCGAAGGCCTGAGATGGATTAAACCCAGGGCGTTGATACTGAGTAAAAGCTGGGTCTTGTGGTCGACCAAACGTTTTTGGGTCTGGGTAATAGTCTGGATTTTCTGGTACAGTCACGGGACTACCTAGACATAGGGAAAACAAGTAGTTGATCAACAAATATATAAAGTATGAAATTTTAATATAAATTTGTTTTTATACGTACCATCTTCTACTATTGAAGCATGTGTGAAGGCAATCAAGTAGAAAAGGACAAGGGAGAAAGCTCCCTGCATGGCGATGCTGAAAGAAACGAATTGATCAAATTATTAACGAAAAAAGGAAGAAAAAACGCATGAAAATACAAAAACAGAAACARCGAAAACCGTCTACTAGAGCGCAAACACTAAAATCGTGAAAAATACTAGCATGCTAAATAGCGCAACAAGTAGTGTAGATTAAATAGTAGAAAACAAAGAAATTTTTATCGTTCAGTACAATTTAATATGTTTAATAACTAAGGTTTAATTGTTTTAGTGTAGCACTCGACTACTAACGACTTTATCATAACTGAATCTAGACGACACTACCGGTACAATGATTCCGGACCATYAAGTACAGTAAAAGTACGTATTTAACAAAAAGTTATTCAAACAAAATAATTGTACATATTTACTGACACATATCGACAATATTCACCAGTATATGAACTGCTCAGATTTATCAATGATTTGATTAAATTAAATATAGGAGGAACACTGGCCATTACTAATTACGCTACATAGCTTACGGCGAGGACATTTTATTGATTATATAAATAGTTGTGCCACACCATTTTGCTATAATTTYATGCTTTAACTTTGCTGAAAATATTGCCCAAAACAAAATAGTTTCGAAGTTAAACAACTATTCATTATATCCATAATATTTTGGTTCAAATTCTGGTAGTTTTCAAGGGATCACATTAGAACACTTCGACACCTGTTACATAGTGAGATCATTGACTTTAAATCAAAATAAACAACTAAACACAAATTTGCAATTAAATTTCCTTAATTAATCTTTTTTTAAAGTTTACGCCTCATAGTTAGTTAGTGCTTCCTTAAAACTGTAACTAATATCATAGATTTCTTTTTAGAAAGAAAAGACMAKCCCATTAGACGGGTCTTGGTGGCTGGGTTGGGCGATTTTGAATTAAATGTCCAAATACTGTCAGAAGCCATTATGTTATAGATCAGATRCACAATTAAATTATCAGAAAATGAGAGCTATTTTTCATTATATATGCCTGAATATCAACCCATTCATATAAATGAAAGTATTTATAGTCGATTCTATTTATTCAAASTTGTACTTACTGAAAATTTTCTGCTCCCGCAAACCGGAAACGCCGGAGTACCTACAGATGACAAGATGGCCGACAGTCAGAGATCGAAATTGTCTTAGAAACACTTTAACCTTTCTAAGATATGAATTGTATAATAGCTAATTAAACTTCACAGTCTTACCTTTGTCTTGTGTCACTTCTTAAGGAAATTTCGTTAGCAAAACTATCATAAAATCCATCAATTTTGTCRTCAGTTTTGGTTTGTCGTTGAACCACCAAATGGTTGAACGAGCTTAAAAGTAAAACACTGATGTCATTCAAGCATTAAGTCACCATGGTAACCACCTATATTTTTCATTGAAGCTGCTGGTGCTCGAGTCGTTGGGATGAACRACTTCAAGACAGGTAGCAACCGAAACRCCGACCAGCTTTTAAGCTTAAAAGCTTCGTTTCACAACCAATACAAATTGTTATTTTTGATCCGCCATCTTGAAAATTTCCCACAAGCCTTTTAGAGCGRAAATGTTCATATCTGCGAGCAAATTTTAGGAAGTGTATTAAGGAATAAGTTTCTTTCATGGTCGTTGCATAGTGTTTGTTGTGTTTTGACTAAAACAATGTATACCGCGAACTGCTTTTACTCACTAGTACGAAATGTTTCAGTCTAGCTTGTCAGATTAGAAAGTAGAATTGGATTACAGCTAGTGAATGTAAATATTGAATATTTAAATAAAGGAAGAGGTAAACTGATGTTTCGTCAATTAAACACTGCAAACATTCGCTGAGTTAATTAGAAACAAAATGGACATTGGAAACATACATGTAAAATAAAAATTCGACAGTTTTTTRATCAGACGGAATGATTTACCCTCCGAGGATCCATGTGAAACAGAAAAGAAAGAAAACTGTCTCTCTTTCTCTGTTCGATTTAATACCGCATAAATTATCATTTTTAAAATTTCAGTAAACGATGGTGTGCATTAAAAATACTGGATACTGGAGCCTCAGACACAGGAGAGTTGGCTTCTCATGTCTGTTGAGAGACCACGTGACCACCTGCCGTAAAAGCCGCAAAGCATGTCGGGTCCAACCGGCGCGCAATGGATTATGCGCTTTTTTCATAGTGATTTCTGTAGCGCATCAATGATAGACATTTTGAGTACGATATGAAAATAGTGATTTTTTGTACATTAAGGAGAAACTGACAGTCACCAACTGTGAATTAAAGGGGAAAAGTACTTTAACTTTTGATTCAAAGAAACACAATTTACAAAGGCTTTCACCAAACTTATGAAAACATGTAGACTTTTACGTCGCCTACTTGATTTGCAATGCATAATTGTGGGTTCCGTTTCTAGAGAAATCTGCCATGTTTTGTCCCGAACATATCCTACAATGCATTGCTATGCGGTACATGACGGGAAAGCTTCAGAGATCTATTGAAAAAGAAAATTAAATGGAACAGCTAAGGTTGAAGCGCAGATTTCRAGTGCAGCACCTTAACCGCATTGACAACAAGGAAGTAAAGACCATGAAATGMTCGAGAGATTATCATTTATTCCCAATTTTTGTACTGAATTGGTTCGTTCTAATCTCTATTTACATGCTATGAACAATATTGATATATTTTCTCTTAGTTTCCATGCATTACACTTTATGTTTTTATCGTTATTACTTGTTTGTTACGTGATATTTTTTCGTCATACAGCGATACGAGTTACAAGTTCATTCACTGATTTTTTGTGTGTTGATATTTGTGCTCTAGGAATTCATGGATTTGTTGGTTTTAGCCATTTCCTCAGTCTAGATATTGTTCTTTCGATGACAATTCTTCCCAAAAGATTCAGTTGATTGGTYTGTGGTCATTTTCTCTGATATCTAGTTCTCTTGTTGTCATTTCAGTCAAATATTTGATTGGCTTTGTTGTCTCGACGTCATTTCCTCTAAGTTTCGATTGGATAATCATCGTTTCTTGAAATATTTTATGAGTTTATCGTCATTCCCCCTAAAATTTGATAGGTTTATAGTCATTTCATGTTACTTTTTATTGTCATCATTCTTGGTAARTTTCAAATGGCTTGTCATCATTTCCTGTAAGAGTTGATTGGCTAACGCCAATATTTGTCATCATTTCGGCTTTGGTTTTCAGCGTCGTCTAAAACGGAGTCATTTTGCTTGTTGTCGCTATTTCCACCATCTTTTTCCTGCTGTTCGTCTTTGACTGATTCTAAAATGATGGATTTTGCAATTGTCTCGTGGACTTCGTTTGGATCGGAATTGGAATCCGTCGTACCGGCACCTTTCAAAGGTTCTGTCACTTCCTGAGAGTTTTCAGAAGAGTTTGGTTGGTTTGCGAGTTCAATTACCCCACCGTCATCTCCTTTTGGCGGCGAGTTACCCAAAAGAACCTGGACCTCAGAGGCAGGTGATGATGACGATATCACCTCCGTTGCTATAGACGACTTCACGTCTTGTCCTCCTAACGTCTCCATGGCAACGTTTGGGTACTCGTCGTCGTCATTGGGTATTTTRTCCTTAGGTACACAGCGATACTTGACCTCAAGGTACTTGGACACTTGGGGACAAACCTGAGTACCTTCCATAGCCAGGAAATCATTGGATGCCGATATTTCACATTTGTCCTCCCCCTGACACAGATCTTTGACTTGTTGCTTTACTTGGTCTTCTTGATCAGTGCAAAACGAGGCAGGACTGTCACCAGGGGGGAGGCATTCTAAGGAGTTCTGTCTTCCAAACATGGCGGACACTACATCTATGCCGTTGAAGATATTTGGACACACAATGAATGCCTTTTGGTTTTCACAGGCTACCGCTGATTTCTGGCAAAAATTAAAAAATAAATATAAATATAAACWATACACATGAATACATAGCCTTTCAACTTCATTGCTACTAATGCCTTTATCGTTTCATTTTTATCAATATTTCATCATATGATAATCTCTAAGCCTGTGGGTCGTGCAGTATATACGAGGGCATTTCCTTTCGAAGTGTTCATTGCCAGATTGTTTTGTATTTATTATTTGGTAAAAACGACCCCTTGGCGTTGGCTAGAGATCCATCATTGGTAAAGTTATTGGAGACGGAAGTCATAAAGAAACTAATTAAAAAATGCGTTCTGCTTGTTTTACCCCTTTCTCCTCCGTTTCGCTGATTTTCGCGCGCTCATAAGTGGCTTATGTCTCCGCCTCCTGCGCTTACTTCCCTAGTGAAAACTTACTGAAACGATACTGATGATAACTGAAATAATTTATGTCCTAAGCGGTGAACATGGGCTAGTTGTCTTACTTCGAAAATTACACAGAAATGCTTTGCGCGTCCCACTACACACAGCATGTTTCTATAGTAACGCCTTAGTGCGGTGCAATGAATAGACAAGCAATCGTGTTTACCCAAGGCAGTCATACAGCATAAACAATTCTACGGAAGAAAACCTATTCTACATTTTATGAATGCTTGAAATGAATCTCATCGTACGCATAAATCAACCGTAACATGCCTGCACCGTTGTGTTTTTTTATGCCGTTTTTATTTTCTACTTACCAGCTTTCCTACACCAGGGGGAATAGGAATACCAGCAGGCTTTGCCTCCACATCTAAAGAAAATGACAAATTTGTGTTGAATATTGAAGAACATGAACAGCACTGTTGACTGACAGGCTTCAATAACCGTGTTTTTCGTTTTGGAATACGAAAGCATGACGGATAATAAATTCTAGAGKAATGAAGTTTAAGCTTTTCTTAACTTAAACACTCCAGGTTTTAATTCATGTTGAAGCGCAAATAGCCTTTTTTTCAAAACCAATATGGCGTCCCAATAACAAAGATGGCGGCCATTATATTGTAACACATTACTGTCTCGCTAAACTTGATATTTAAAGACCTTTTTGAATAAATATGAACAAATAGAAAAACAAAACAAGTGGTTATGAGTGAATGATAAAATATTTTATAAATAATTTGAGCAGACAATCGCAATCAATCAAAGTAGTGTCTTATTTTCAACGTTRATTGTCTTTCTTAATTCTATTAATGGCCGATGATATGATCGTTTTAACAATGTTAAGTTGGATAACCAAGTGTTTAATATAAATCTTATTTAGATATCCGCCAAAAATAGCAGTTTAAACAGAGAAAAATGATCTAGACTTATGAAGCCTGTGATATCATTTTAGCCGAATCTTAGTCCTTGACCTTTATGAGTGGACGCCTCTGAAAAACGCCCGGACACTTCCAAAGTTTATAACGTCTTTCATTATAGAAATAGAATTAAAACATACTAAAAGAAGAATCCGACAATCGCCAATATTTGCAAGTTTGTTTAGACGCAGATAAAGACATAACAATAACACATAAATCGACATAACCATTCATGTGATTCTACCAACAACACTAACAATTGCAGGTGCCCGGGGTGATTCTCTACTTACATTTCTGTAGACAAAGAATAAGAATTAGCCATGAGTATATAAACCTCTCTTGCTTCTTGGTCGTCATTATACATTGACATTAACACACGGATTATTTTCATGAATTACGGTACTTCACACGTTACCATCTTTAGTTTTGTTATGACAGAAAGGATAATTTCAGAAATGAGATCAATTCCTTGATACCAAATTTAGACTTAAAATGTGGTAAATTATTCAACGACCTGTGGCACGCTGGACATGAAACCATTGCGCAAAGCACGATGGATARATGGCATGACCGCTGACATGTGTGGTATGTGAAACGATACATGGTCATACATGAATGAACGGAGTTTTGCGATGTTCTTTGATAAATGTGTCAATGTTTTTACATGGTATAATTCCCTAAGGATAATTCTATATCAAATTATCAAATATATGTTTCCTTTTAGAAGACGTCAAAAACAAAACAAAACAAAAAAACTTTTATCCCACCTTTGACGCACAGAAAACACAAGGTTGAGGAAAACTAGTTTCGTCTTTACTTAGACCTTTTCAATTCCTTTACAACTGTTTTTTTATTGTTGTTGTTTTTGTTTTTTTGACGTCTTCTAACATGAAGTTTAGAAACTCCTTTAAACAACAAATATCAACAAATATAAGCTTATGTTGTAAAGTTTGTCTCCTTTAAGGATTGTTTTTTCGAAAATTTTGTTGTCCACCAAACTGCTAATTGTTTTCCAATACAAAAAAAAAAAAAAACGAACAAATAAAGAGAATTTTGTGAAAAAAAGATTGTTTTAATCAACAGGAGTTGGAGGTTAGTTCCCTCCGTGCGCTGCGCTCGCACCTTTGCCTTTGACAGACTTGTGCCTGTGTTCTTATTCTTATGACAGTATACACACATAAAAAGCCGTACAAGCGTGAACCAGTCCCAAATAATATTAATATTTCTAACTCATGTCAACGATGCCGACATTCCCTCAACAAATCTCCACCCTCACCAGGTGGCACAGTAGCCGTCAGTCAGTGTAGGCTAAAGCAAGCTGAGTGTCAAACCCATCTTTTTTGTACCGTCCCACGCCGCCCTCTCAACTAACTAACAAAGTCCAGATGTATTGATGTAGTGCTCCAGCAACATCTGTGGCGCGTCTAGTATTTTGACTGGCTGGTATACAGCTGGTTTCCGACTCGAAACCAGCCATTCACATAGAAGAATATCTTGAAAATATGAATGAATGATGACACGCACAAACACAAGTGTTCAAAAAAAAAAAAAAAAAAAACAAGAGCATTTACGAAAATCGCAGATCATGCTTTTCATTGAATTTCCAAACAGTTTGACTGTAAAGTGTCAAAGTGTATCCTTTAACTGTAAATTAATGTGTAAACTACACTCATAAACCAAGAGTGTTTGTACTTTCTGGTTTCGCTTACAATATATGTTTATTAAACTACATGCCACTAGACAGTACAATGTTACTTTCATGAGTTCACCTTTCTTTTCAATTCAGAAGAAAGTATTGTACAACATGTCAAATGTACAACTGAGGTTGACCATGTTCTGGTCAGTTATTTGCTCAGGTTCGTAATGTTTGTTTCTTATTCTGCTTGATGTTTGTTCTGTTTTTGAGATAAAGACATTTTTTATGCCTTTATTCAATCACTTGGTTCATTCAGTCATACTTAACTGCCTAGAAAAAGAGTCGAGAAGAAAACACCGAAAAGAAAACACAGACAAACATGAAGTTTATTGCATGTTTCATCGCACTCGTGTTCATGGTCATACTGCAAGGTAAAATTACTAACGTTTTGAATATTGCGGATCTGTGATACAATTAAGACTCTCGTATAATAACATTTGGAGCCGTATAATTCGGGCTCTCTAGTTCTCATATTTGCTGTTATAAAGTAATTCTGGCATTGATTGCCCACCTTAGTGTACTAGATAAATATCAAAACCTTGTATGACACGGAAAACACAGAAAAGTGCAACCCTATTCAAGACACGAAGGCCACACCCTATTTATCGCGCGACGTTCCCGTATCGTACATATCGGGGAGTAACCCCCGGTTGATTGCAATGGTCCTTGTATATAAATTTTGTTATAACTGCTCGCAAATATAGAAGTGAAATAAAGCACACTGTCCTGCTTTGCGCAATTTGTTAGTTGAAAAATATTTACAATGATTATCAGATTTCTTGTTGTTGAGCTTGATCTCTCCTATCTTTTTTAGCTTTTTGAATATTGAATAGGAAGGAAATTTTCTTAATAACATTTATAGTAATTTTTGACATGTTTGATTTGTGCACATAGTTTATTCTTGATATCCCATCTACAGTACAACCTGTACCAGCAGCTAGCAAGAAGGGTGGCATCACAGTGAAGAATGAGAAGGCACTTCAATTCTTGAACCACGAACGCAGCTTGTTGCCGATTTTCAAAGACCTCTATCATGAATGCTGCGTCGAAGGCTGCTCGCTTGGCGAGATACACGAAGCTGGCATTTGGAAATATAAGACAAGCGTTGAGGTAAAGCTTTCTCGCAGACTTTTGAAACTGATAATAATCTTATTAAATACAGAATACAACATAGCGACTGAAAGCCTTCATTACAAGATTGTTTTAAAAAAATCTAATATTAGTAAATGCATTGTTAGAAATATGTTTCATCCTCTTTTCAGTATGTGAAAGACAACTGCAACCATTGCCCTCAGTAGATGGGATATTCTAAACTTCTTTCTCAATTCAGGTTTATAGTATGGGCTAGTGATAAATAAAATCCAATAAAATCTCATCAAAAAGGCGTCATTTTTATTAAACAGAACGGTTAACAGAATAACCTAACACCACGAACACATTTAACGACATGCAATATACATGCAGGACATGAACCCCAAGATTATGTGTAAAATGGCAACAGGCCTATGTCTTGTTTCAATTTGACAGGTCGAGGGTTTAAAGACTTTAGTACATCCAAGAACCTTTGCGTGAATTTTTCACAACGAAAATTCGCCATTTTTTATTTTGAACCAATCAGAAGGCATCATTAAACAAGACATCGTTTGAAAACAAAGACGATCGCAAAGGTCTTTTGGACCCCCCCAAAAAAACTAATAATTTTTCAGGCTTACTGAAGTCAAGTTTCCTTATAAAAATATTTTAGTTGATTAGCAATTGACCCCCTCATGGTAATGCAATGAACAGCGAGTTACAAGATCGTATTTTAGTGTCACGTGTACGCATACAGGGGTTCCCAACCCCTGCCCCCTGAGTTGTGATAATTCAATGTGAGTATTGCAACGAATCCTGTTAAAACAATGTGTTGTACAATGGTGCTAACAGCTTGCTTCTTCACAATTTAGTGATTGCTCAGAAAATGTAAACGTACCACCTTAAAGTAAAAGAGCAATGGTTGTTGAATCGAAGTTGTTAAAACCTGTTTTGGTTCGCTTTGAATTTATAGTCCTTGTTTCTTTCTTCCTCTCTCGCTCAGTCGCGGTCTATTTCTTTCCGTTTTTCTCTTCTTCTTCTTCTTCTTCCTGGTTACCCCGTCTCTTTCTAACTAGAAAATCCTTACGGGGGGTCTTAAAAACAATAATAATAATAATAAAAAAAAGATTTTGAATTGTCAAGTTGTAATGTCAAGAGATTCCCTGAAAATGTCGATGCTCGATATGTTAATGATGTCTCCTTTGTTTCTCTTGCCTCATAAACCATTTTAACTTTCCAGTTCTTGCTACATCATATTTTCTTTCGGTTCGTTTCTTTACCGATTCCTCTTACAAAGTATTCAATGTTCTTATGCAAAGGCTACATTGTTCTTGATCTCAGCTATTTATTCAGGTTTGTAAAGATTCTTTTTGTTAGCTTCTTGTTGTTTGTTTTWGTTTGTAATAAATACATCTTTTAACCAGTTTTTCAATCATTTGCTTGGCTCAATTAGTCTTGAACACCGACAAGAAAGATTTACGTAAACATGAAGTTTATTGCAAGTTTTATCGTACTGTCCATGATTATACTGGAAGGTAAAAGTATATAATATTTGAAATTTCCCAACGTATGAAAAAATTTATACTCTGACCCAAAAMGCTCCACAGTATAATTCTTCATTGTTTTCGCGAAACATTTTGTAAAGGCCCGTTTACACTTGCGATTTTTGCATCGCGATTGTTGCGCGACAATCACCATTTTGTTCTGKCGCACCTCAAATCATATGTATTGCCGCCCGACAATCGCGCTTCAAAAATCGTAAGTGTAAACGGGCCTTAAKGAAGCGCTTWAAACTGTGMTACTAATGAATACAAAACRTTTGCACTACTGACTTTGGAAAGTACTTGATGCGGTGAATGAATAAAATGCACATATCTAGTGGTAAAAGACTATTGACTAAAAGACTATTGGATTTACAATAGTTTTTGATCACTGCTTCTCGTTTCAATATYAGTGCAACCTGTGCCTGCAAGCAAGGGTAGTGATATCACAGTGAACAAAGAGAAGGCACTTCAATTCATCAGCGTCAACAAACGCGGGATTTTTAAAGATCTCTATAACGAATGTTGCGTCGAATGCTGCCAAGCTGAAGAGATWCAAGAGGCTGGGATATTTAACAAGACACGTGTCCAGGTAAAGCAACATTAAAGACATTCAGTATTTGGCTCGGAATCTAGCGCATCCTTCCCGGACCCAAAAGGTTACCAGAGAGAACAGAGAATGCGCTGAAAGTGCGCATCCACTCTCTTTACCCCAATCACACCGAGGATCTCCGACACGGAACCCTTTTAAATATAGAGTACTTGTTTTTTATTTGTTTCTCTGTCTCTTTTCTGCATTTGCCATTATTCTAAATTTTGTTTTTATTTTTTAATTTTAGTTTGTGAAAGAGAACTGCTGACCAACCGTATCGCATGTCTTTAAAAACAGCGAACGGAAGATTTACAATATATATCATATAAATAAAATCCATTAAAACCGTAAAAGTTAGCAAGTCGTGTAATTTCTAGACCGAACTTCCTACCAGTGTATTTCTCTTTTCGCTCGGTCTAGATGGGAAAAAGAGAGAAAAGTACGCTTTTCCTTCAAATTCTTCCCTAGATACTTTGCGCGCCTCTTAAAAAACTAGAGAAGACTGGGTACGAGTCTGTGACTTTGAGGTTGTTGACCCCACCTCCTCTTGAGAACCTTGTCATGGTATCCCGCAATCCCGCGGCYTCTATAGTTGAAATCCCGCAATAATCGGGACGAGTATAAAATAAACAGTGCTCACTTAACCTTTTATTCGACTSGTTCCAGGTCAATTAATGGACAGGTATCGCTCTGTTTGAGGTCACATAGCGAGATCCCATAAATTATTTACCTTTTAAGACTGCGTTATTTAGTTTAGACCAGTCTTTTGTTTCTAACAATGTTGCTATTGTTTCTATTKATCTTATTAACACAAGGYGCTGGAAAAGGTAAGCCATCATTGTTAAACTTGTTGTAAATAACRCCATGTAAAAGTGATTATTGATCTAAGGATTTTGAGAAAATCGTTAATTTTAGGTATACGACATAATGTCATGAATCAAGTACTATTAAATGCACTGGATTCAAACTCTTTTGTCACTTGAAGACTTGTAAATGAAAAGATATGAAACGAAAAGATATTCATGATAAAGGCTATAGGATTAAAAAATGGGGAAMAATTTAATAGGATTAGAATCTTGATGATTATCTAATGTTAATCAGAAATGCATAAAAACGTAAAATATCAAATATCATTTCTTACTTTTAAWTTTAAATTGATATTGCTAAAAATATCGTTAATCAGACATCAAAACATTTTCATTTTGATTTTGTAATGTTATAAGTAAACAGAGGCTGAATGTCGGTAATTTTATCATTAATTGGATTCATTAATTCCAATTATTACAAGCSCTCTTAACGAAAATCATACTATGTGTACAAAAGTAATATATATAGCAATATACAAATGTGTCCTAGATCATTCTTGAACATTATAATTCACCTATATCTGWACACCCCATGATACAACCATGACTGACCGGTAGTTCAAACGACTTCGCATGTCGATAATAACAACAAGATAACTTTTTTGGTTTCCAAAATGGCAGATCGAGTGTGGTTTTCACTGAAATGTGAAAAAGACAATGGCAGACTTTAATCTCGTAAAGAGGACTTTTTTTCTTTCTGTTGTAACTGTTCACAGTCCAATGAAAACCACGCAGCGAATAAAAGGTATCATGAAAATAAATTATATTTCCATGAACTGTGGTTTATATCAGTAATAAGTAAATCTTTCCAGCACCGAAGATAGTATAGCACTTTTCCAAATAAGGGTACAAAATCCCATATTTGGTCTTGCAATGGTCGTAAYACACTCGTTATTTTTCAGCCTTGTCATCAGAAGTATCAGACCCAGACCTCCCCGATCACTGTCTTAGGGCCCATAATGACTACAGGAACAGGCACAAAGCCTCCAAACTACAATGGTCCACGGAGCTCGCACAAGAGGCCCAAAAATGGGCCGACCATTTAGCAGCTATAGATCAAATGGAAAGGGACTCTAATACGAAGGATGGGGAGAATATATTTTATATGTACGGAGGGGACCCCTCTGAGGCGTGTGACAGGGCCGTTGAGAACTGGTACTCAGAAGTGAGGAATTACGACTTTAAAGATCCACATGAGAATCCAACTACTGGTGAGTATTATGGGATAGCATGGTTGTAGCCGTTGAGTCTCTAGGGGGGTAGATCCATTGCTAGTTAGTCACTATTACATGATACCCTATCACAACAAAACACACTATCGCAAAACCAGCATCTTTGAAATATGAAAAAAACTCTCAAAACTTCTATGTTCTAGACCACTTTAGTCAGATCGTGTGGAAGAATACAAAGGATTTAGGGGTTGGGACAGCTCAGAGCAAATCTGGAAACTTTTTCCTGGTGGCTCGCTACAGACCAAGTGGTAACACTGATGGTTCATTTCAAGATAATGTTGAAGCAGCGTCAGATGGTATGTATATACRAACACAASAAGTGCTACCTCCTTTCCTAAAATACCACTATTCCATCCCAAACCACCGAAARGTTCTTAATTCGCATGTTAGGTATTGCAGAAAATAAAGAGGACTTTTGCAGGAGCATAAAAGGGAAAATGCGGCCAATGATTTGCATGCTTGAATGGTACTTAAGAAAACGTTGTACGCACTCTCTAGACGCAATGTCCCAAGTTCGATCTAAGCTTCAGTGCTCTTGAAAACATATTTCCAGTAAGGCAGCTTAGCATTGATAGAAATTATATCACTACTGTCTTATGAAGAATTTTAAACCAATAGCAAATATCAAAGGGGAATCACTGGAATCGACTTCCACCAGACCACCAAAAGATGCATCTGAAGCCGCAAAGGAGGAGTCACCAGCAGGCCCACAGTCCCAACCCAAACCCTTCACCGGAAGTCACTCCGCACTTCCGGATCAAATCTTTGAAAGCGAACTTTCAACCAAGTCTGAGCATGCAAGGCCGGAAAAGAACGAGAAACATAAGGATGGATTTGCTGCTAACCCACCAATGAACCCTGGCGCTGATATGCTAATGGCACCTCCCAAATATGGTAAGATAACCTTTATAAGGTAAACGTTATGAATGAATCTTGAGCTGTCTAAATTATATTCACTCGGGCTTCTCGTTCAGTTACGAAAATGGTAGAATATCTAAGCAATACAATACAATACAATACAATGAATTTTATTTAAAGAGGGTTACACTTGACAGTATTAAAAAACACTGATGAACTCGTGGCCCTMAAAGCAAAACTAAAAAGCATTTTATCTTAGTCATAGTGTGGTAAGAAATGAAAGCGTCTTTTTATCACATTGGCGTTTGAAGATGTGCTTTTCAATTGATTTTTTTTCTTTAATAACCTTTTAGGCAAAGACTATCAAGTCGAGATCCGTTTTCCAACAATTCAGTTCACGGAGAAGATGAACACACCCCAATCGAAGGACTACCAGGACGTAAAGCTCGCTATTACATCGGCGGTATGTACAGTCATTTCTAGAAACGATTGTGATTCATAGTCAYTGAATATYTTATRCTTCTTGAGTTCAGATTCTACAGCTCTATGAAGATTTTGCCCCATTCCAGGAAGTTCAGCTTTTGGGTTTAAGGTAAATTTACTCRGGCAYTCAAGATATAGTCAATACAATGATGCAATCCATCAAACCACGTACTGATCCATAAAACTATCCATTTATTTAACCATCCATCCATTTATTCACTAATTCATTAATCTATCCAACCATAAAGTGACCCATATTTCTCAAACCATCCATCCACCCATGACCTGCGTTCCAATAAATCGCAGTTTTCATATTTCTCTTTTTGTCAAAACATTTTCAACAGAAATGGAAGTGTTATCGCAACTCTTGGGCTCATATTCACAAAAATTGGCCACAACTACCTTGATAGGCTTACTGAGAAAGTCGCCGCGGGAAAACTGGGAGATCTGGATGTAACACGTGACTATGTTGCTGCTGGTAGGATTRTCTCAAAACACATGAAATCCGTGAAATAGATATTAGATTTATACTCCTGAGTAATCGCTAACTAAATTGYTTACTTTTATATACCATTCATAAATGGGCGTGTCTTGGAGTGCGAAAGARAATTACAATTACGAGCTTGCTCTCATGTGTGAATGACTGACTAGAAGTGTTCTCTAAGATAARGCAGAACATTTTCTCGTTTTCTCTATTTCTTCTTTAGATATCAGGTCAGCAAAAAATAAAATGAAAGAAAATATAAATATTATTGAAAGGAAGAAAAATGCGAGAAAACGAAACGGATTTACGTTTGTCAAAATTTATTAGATAAAGATCCGAGCGTTAGTCTGTACTACAATTAAAGATATGAATGTGCTTCCTTCCTAGCACTATAACTTTCCTTTGTTTCTATATCATGTACTACAATTACCCATTCAATCAAAAGGTAATACATAGTAACCATGGATGTCATCCCTAAATGATAAGTTGAGAGGGGGCGATAACTCGGACGTGTGAAACACCAGAACACATAAAATCGCTACCTGTTTAAGTACTCTAAACATGAATACGTTTATCCTAACGGCCATAAACTTTACAAATGTAAATCACTCCAACATAATGATTTTCGTACCAACCTAACGCTTTCCAAACCACAATCACATCTGGTGAGAGATTATACATCTCTGATTCTGTCTGGTAGTAATTGAATGTTTGTGTATTTCTAGATGTATTGCCCGATGGATACCTCAAGCTAACTCTTCCAAACCAGCGCACTGGTCAATGCCCACTACCATGTGCCAACCCAAACAAATGTTTTGAAGTTGGATGTTCACTGTCCTGTTGCGCGTATGAACCCGTTATCTCTCCTACTGAGGCTGCTCCTGTCCAGGAAACTCATGCTGTAGGACCACCAATCCCTGCACCAGCACCAGCMCCAGCACCAGCCCCAGTACCAGCACCASTACCWGCACCAGCACCTGCGCCAGCACCATTACAATGTCCAGGAACCTGTCCACAGAATTGTGCMCCTACATGCTCTGTGGAATGYTGTAACGATAAAYTAATGGATGATTCAGCTACATCTACTCCAGCAGCTACAGTAGGACCATCCGTGGCAACAACCGATCCTTCAGCATTTACGTTCAACGGGTACTGCCCTGCACCATCTTGTCCAGCCTCGTGTTTTCCAGATTGCAATGAAGATTGCTGCAATTCCCCTGAAGTGACACCATGCTCAAACCAATGCAACCAGTACTGCTCAACAGAATGCCCTCAAGAATGCTGTGAAAGGAAATCAAAGGTTCACCAAAGACATCCACAAAAATCTTTTCTTCTCCCTCCTCTTCACCATGGCATGTACCCAAAACCGGCKTATATGTATAGGCCCAAAACCAATGCCCTGAGGAACCCCATTAAACACCTTAAACAAGTACCACACAGGCCTCAACGCATTAACGCATTTAGCTATTCATCACTTTGGCAGCCATATCTCAAACTGGCTCAAAACTACGGGTATGGMGGTGCKAAACGTGGTACATCCAGGAGTAAAGTGGCCACAAGAGCTAAGCCTCAAGCCAAGGCAAGAGCCACACCATACAGCAAGATACCGTCCCACAACCGATTTATACCATCCCCAGCACAAAAGAGATCACCGTTTTATGGACGAATCCAGAAATCTAATTACTATGGCAACGGCCATGGAATGAAACTTATCAAGGACCTAAAATCCAAGGGTACTCCAGTGAATGTCAAATATGCGTACCGCTATGGGAACCGACTGCTTGTTCCAGTAGATCTACCAAAGGACATGGAGTTTAAAGAGATGAAAGGAAAAAAGTTTATCAGCGTGCCAGCATTCAGGAGAAATGAAATACCGCGACCCGGCAAATAACTGACTCTTGACGCATAGTACATAGAGTTGTCATAATTTCACTATTTCTCATTTACTATTAGCAACATCTTAACACACCATGCTATAATGGTAAAGAATTGTGAACTCTCTATATAAAGACGATTGTATGTGGATATGAATTTGATTTTATAAATTGTGATTATATTCTATAGACGAAAACCTCTGCTCTTGTATTTGGCATGCATTCTGACGAATAGACTACTTCCGTTCTTGCATAGTATGACGGGAAATTAAGTTAGGGCGAACTAGTATTCCAAAGATTTGATAGTCTACTTTAAGTTAAGGTCGATTTAAGTTGTTTGACATGTTCGTCTGACAAAAAATAATTCCAACGAAACAACGGATGAGGGAAGAATAAATKATTTATTCGCGTGTAACGAATCGTTCGAAAGGACATTTGTTCGCCTAGACAATTTAGACGGCATTTAGTGTTAAAACGACCAATGGGTGACCATGGTAGCTACAAAAAACTTTTTTTTTCTAAATTATAACGACAAACAAGGATGATAGTACATAATGTCATGTTGTATTATATATTGCTATATCTAGTTACGATGTTATGATGTATTTTCCAGTTTATGCATGAATATATTGACGATTATTAGAATTTACAGTTAATAAAAAATTGAGTTTTGAAAAAGTGGTTTGAAATGTACTGAATATGGGATTGGTAGGGTCGGTTATAAGTCTCGAACTGAGGCGACTTATAGTAAACCTTAAAATATAGTAAACCTTACAATTGTTGAAGAGCAGACTTTAGGAGGTCAGGGAAAGGAAGGTGAATGGAAATGAGAGGGGATGGGATGGGACGGGAGGGAATGCACTAACAATGGAATGGTTTGGATTTTCCTTCTGCACGTATTTTGTCAAGATTTACGATTTACGTTTATGTAGTAAAAATAAACAAAATGAATTCAGCCTCATCTGTCCACAACAAAAGAATTATATATATTTTATTGTTTTTAGTCCCAAAAAATTATAAAATATACTTTTAATAAAGCAAGTGCARGCGTATACAATAATATTTGATTTCTTTACAAAAATAGTGTTTTCAATTCACGTAATYCAAGTGTTGTTTRGTATTTTACCAAAAMGTATAGCAAAATAATRTTGGATATGTATGGATAAATAATAWCTTTTMAAAGATARCTGTGCATATGATTAATTTTCATTAAAAAAGTATAAGTAGTATTTATGGATACATAAGTAACATATAAGTATATTGTATATCTGCTGGTAGGGGCTCCTACCATTGGCAGAAACATAGCATACATTTGTTATACTAGTCTATATAATGCAAGATATTTCAAAAATATTGGTATTTGCTGAATTCAATAAATATTGATTATTAACTTAATAGAATTATTTTTGCATGTTTCTAAGGCTACACCTTGTATCTCAGTGATTGTAACAAAATATAGAATCTGACAATATTATTGGAGTTAATATTAATTATTTCCAATAATCTATTAATATCCACCTTGGTTTCCAAAGAGCTGCCGAATCTTTTCATTATTAGGATTCACCTTACCAATCATGTGGGGATACTTAGATTCAAGTATTTTCCATGCTAACTCAGCCGTTAAAGACTCTGCTACAAGCCTTGGATGGAAACCATCAGAYGGTTCAATCAGCTCCCATATTTGGTTTCCCTTTGCTTTCCATTCCTAGATAGAAAACACAAGAGAATTTAGACTTTTCAAAAGAATAGTGCATTTCCAAATATTTCCTTTAGGCTTCCTGTGCTACTTATATTGCATAGAGACTGGTAAGGAATATAACATTAAGTGCTATACTTCATTAAAAAAAATCAGTTTGTCCAATTAGACAGCAAATTATTGAAATAACTGGTCAATAACTCTGTTTAATGTACTTATTTCAAATTCACAATTACACTAGGTAACAGGCAGAGTCTTGTAGAGAAWTTACCTCAAGAATTTGTGGGAAAGGATTATCAATGAATGCAACATCAAAGCTGTTGTACTTGGCATGTTTTACAACATCCTTCATAACAGCTGTCAGTGCAAATGATCTCTCTGCTGTGAAATTCCTKACAGTCTCATTGGTGTTTARATAACCRTAACATGGCGAAACGTGCAGGCARTTCATGAAGTCATARAACTTTGAATARGTRACATCACGACGTAAGGAACCAATCGGATGGATCCTATTATGCATGTTRTTATACAGCACACGGCCATCAACCATGCCAACAACAAGAACATGGCTACCATTGGGCAGCTGCTTGTCTAGTGTGTCTAAGGTCTTTAGAAGGTTGGCTCTCATTTGTTCAGGTGTAGTCATGTGATCAAAATCATGCCAATGATTACACACATCATTACCAATTAGTGAGTAAATGACAAGAGCTGGCTGATCAACACCCTTTCTACGGTTTAATGACTCTATTAGGATGTTATTTGCATCAAAAGAGTCAGCACCATTCTTGGCTAAGTTTTGGTAGTCACGRTGATTGCAGTGATTTCTTTGGAATAACTTTAAGTAAAGCGATGAAACATTTCCTTTGTCTAAAGGCCATCTGAAAGAAACATCAGAATTGGATTTATGTGTACTAAACTGCTTACTCTTTATTGTGCAAGTATTGATATTATAACATCATTCAACTTACTTGGATTGACTATAATGTCCTGTATATAGTGAAAGCTGCGGCCAGTCAACCTCATTGGCAACTATAAACGCTGCATTTTGAAATACTTCTGCTTTGAACTCTGAAGCATTCAGCCATTGAGGGGGGAGATGAAAATGAGCTGCAACAGAGTCCCCCAGTACTATCAGACCTAGATAGCCAGTGTCTGAATAGATTTAAATCATAAATGAGAAATTGCTTTGATACTATACAAATAATGATTGGTCAGTGCTTTTGCAATTAGGTCAATAATTACTAAGGGATAAATTAATATTATTAGCTATATCACAAGAAATTATCTAGAGATTTAAYCTGGCTAATTTATATGCTATAAAAACTTAGGTACGATTAAAGACCAACCTTTGCAAAGTAGTTCTTCATATGTTTTGAAGGTAGCTGGGTCAAAACCCCAAATCCCATTACAATTKGCATCTAAAAACACATCTCCATGCTCTATAGCACCTGGTCTGATAAGAGGGTCRAAATCATCACAGTCCCTACCCCTCCATGATACTCCCCTCCACGCTGAACTAACGCTACTAAAATAATCATTATCCCAATCCACTAAAGGATGATGAYTGTTAAAWACTCTGTTAATCAGCTGACACAATTCTCTCACACCAGGCAAGACGCAGGGGTCAAAAAATGGYTCCTTGATGTCATCTAAAAAYGTCAATGACTTCTTGTCTCGTGCGATTGCCAGCTTTTTCTTTGCCGTGTAAAGTATTTCATCAAAATCACCCTTTGGAGGGAACGCATGRCAAGTAGGATAKCCYTTTTCAGTATAACAGAGYTTAACTGCGTTGCAAATGACGTCAGCAGTAACGTCACGAGTCAATATCTGGATAATTTGAGGAATATAGTACCGGCCCAGTTCAACACAAGCTCCTTTATAAATTGGAGCMGGGAGAAAGTTACAAAATCTATCAAACGCTTGGACAAATGTTTCATTGTGTATAACACTTAGCTGGTCAGTTAGCGCTGACACGGCGATACAAGCAGCACAGTACACTCCTCCATTCACRCCTTYTTTGAATGCAAAACAGCCATGGGAATTGCATAATATGAGCAACAAACCAATGCTAAACAGCTTGGGCTTCATTCTTGAWWAACTCCAGTGTATTGAGAAGAGAATAAAGATGTAAAACTCCACTTATTCACAGGATAAACCTCTTAAATTTGCTGTGTCGAAACTTGTATACTTCGCTTTCGAAACTTTGTACTATTTCCAGACCTCTTCAAATTTATATAACACAGGGAGACCAAATTTACATACAAGATGAAATGTCATTTCTTAATAAGTCTTATTTCTATATTTCAAGTTTACGCAATGAACAAAATTTGAATCTCTTAGACGATTTTTAACTTAATTTTATGGTAATTATCAATTTCCAGATATTTATCTTGAATATAAGTATTAATCAAAATACATAMAGTCGATACGTAAAGAATTCATAATTTTTGTGTTCTATAATCTTTGCTGGATTTTTAGAATTTCATGAGGATAATAGCATGCATAAAATGACCATTTTTGCAAAGATTTTCATTTTACTGCCACTCCCCTTCCCCCACCCCTCCCTGGTGGTGTCATTGCGAATGCGCCACGATGTGGCACATGCGCAAAGAGTAGGAATTCAACATGGCGAGTTGAAGGAAGTGTGACGAATGTCGCTGTAACCCGCTCAAAAAGAGTTTTTGCGCTCTTTAGTAGTGATGTATTCTCGATATTACAATGGGAATATCWTAATCAATTATCTGTTGAATATTGCACAGCTCTAAATTCACTGATCTGGCCGACAACGGCGAGGAACTAGCAATTCTTCATGAACTGTTTTGGGCTGCATCACGATATTTGCTGACTRCCTTTACGGAAACTGCAACTTCGTTCAAAGAAAACCTTTTTAACCTGCCTTGATTGGAAGTGAAAGTTAAGCTAAAAGACTTATAAATACTGGAGTCATCTGTCTACAAGAAAATACCAAAATGAGTGAGTATAAATATTGCGAATATTTTCGAATCATTATTCGAAATGATGCATTTCAAAGTTCAGTCCTGAATGAAAACGTGTACATTTATGCCATGAAATTTGAGATTTGCTCTCTAAATTGTTCTTATATTTGTCATTTATCATATGTGTTGAGTTTCTTAATGTCTAATCTACAGTTTAGCGAAATCTTTGATTTCTTCATGGCTGCTTCGGTAAATATTGACGAACATAACTTGAAATAATTCATCCACGAAATCGACTTATTGGACTTGTAACYGAAGATATTAATGCTGAATTATGTAGTCAAATTTGGCGATTACGAGTCGTGTGCTATGATGTTGATAAAATATAATGAATTGCTACGAGATTTGTTTGAACAAGGAGAAGTAGGAGTAAATTTGGAGACCAATTTCTCACGCCACACCTCGCGATTTCTCCACACTATGTTAAAACACTTCATTCAGATCTTGCAAATTACCTGTAAAATTCGAAGAGATAGCTTATCTTCATGTTATTCCGATTGTTTTAAATCTGCCTGCTAATTATGTAGCTATGATCATTATTGGAACTAAATTATTGTTAATTGTTTTGGAATCTTTATAAAGAAGTTTAATTGATTTACATGTAAATGTGTTCAACACCATGCTTTCTTCATAATAATAGAAAATGTCTTAAAGACCTCTCTAATTTTCCTCGGAATTATGCCATGGCTAATTCCATTTTGCCTCGTATTTTCAATACAACATTTATTATGTTTATAAACAAAAGGAGAATCTCTTACAGTAGGGTTTGAAAGGCTTTCAGATAGATTCACACTTTCTTCAATTTGAGGTGTTTTTGATCTGTCTTAATATGATAATTTTTATGGTAAAATATTCTGAAATTTTTAGTGTAAAATGTTGAATATTTGGACATTCAACACAGCTGTGCCAATATACATGGTATATTTGAATGTGAAGGATTTCTTGTRACCACAGAGTACTTCACTGTGGTTACTTGRACTTCCTACAAATTCAGACAATACTTGCATGTAGGCACATAATAATTGTTTGACACCAAAATGAAAGCTATTTCTTAAGTAATGTTAAGGTGAAAGAGATATAGCTCTGGGGCCTCTATGTTCTAAACATCATGTTCAATTAGAAAGAAGTGAAAGTTCATGTAATCATTGGGAACACTGGCCCAAATGTTAATCTAATTGAAAATGAATTTAATATGTGATATACTGGCCTTATGAATAGTATATTACTTCATGAACTATATTTAAAATTGCTTTGATTTAAAAGCCTATTACCTTGTGAAACAAAGGCTATTACAATGTAAAACAGGGAAATTAAACCATAGTTTTGAAAAAAGACTAAATCATTGATGTTATTTTCAATTTCCAATGCCTATTTTGTCATGAAAAAAAAACTTCTGACCATCATGCTTTAAACTTTCTGTGAATYGAAAATGCCTACCTAATTTTTGCTTGTTTATAAAGAACAAAATAAAAATCTAACATCTGCATATTTTAAAATAAACATAAGCTTAACTATCCTTTCAAATACAATGAAAAATTACAAGTGACAAATGAAAATACCTGTGCATGCATTTTCTTTGCTATTGCAAATAATATTGAAATTCAAAAATGTCAAGATAATAAGACCATATTAGAAAGTATATATTTTAAGATGTAAGACATGATCTTATTGKCTGATATTCATGTTTATATAAGAGTTCAGAGACATTGTTTGACATTTTTATATAAAAGAAATATTAAACAAACTATGGAGTCTCTGTCCTYTGATAAAAACACTTGAAAAAAGATTTAGAGCACYTGAGATGTTGGTTTAGTGTATACTCTCCAGCTCCAACTATGTCTACATCAGAAACAGCTGTTTCTTGTTATTAAACTGCAGCACATGAATCAGTAATGTCTACAAGTGTGGGCTGATATTCTATGTTTATTGTGCTGTTATATGTGCCAGTTGCTTGYCTTCCCTTGCTTTGCTCTAGGCACCTACCCTCCATCGTAAYGACAAGTTAATTTAAGTAATTGTTTATTTTTCAGGTCTCAATTCATTAGACAATGATGACCATGAAAATAACAAAGCAAGAGCAGCTATCATTGCAAGATATGACCGGGTATGAGTGTGTGTAAACCCCTCTCCCTGGTGGAGATGTTTTGATGTTATCCCCCTCTCCCTGGTGGATATGTTTTGATGTTATCCCTCTCCCCCTGGTGGAGATGTTTTGATGTTATCCCCTTCCCCCTGGTGGAGATGTTTTGATGTTATCTCCCTCCCCCTGGTGGAGATGTTTTGTTTATCCCCCTCCCCCTTGTAGAGATGTTTTGATTATCCCCCTCCACCTAGTGAAGCTGCTTAAGTTGGAGCTTCTTTTAATAAACATTCGCAAATTGTATATTTATCAGGGTTACGATGATGGTGCTGAGGTGGATGACTGGGAAGATGCAAACTTTTTTGTTTACAAAGTGACAGACAGATATGGGTTTTTACAGTAAGCATCCTATGAACTATTCTCTCAAACTGTACATGTTGAGAAAAAATTGCAMAAATAATGTTGGTTTTAAAAGAATTCTGAGCATTACTAATTTTTCTATATTTCCATTTAGCAAAAATCCTTTATCTGAAGATCAAGATCCCAAGGTTTGTTGCAGTTTTTTTAGTCCTTTYGTTYTGATGTCTTCCTCACTTGTTTATCAGCTTCTGTCCAGACATTCCTCATTTTTGACTTTAACCAAAAAAGTTACAGATGCTTATATGAATACAGTTAAGCTAAATTAGTATCCTAGGACAGTCCATTATTGCAAACATTGACTTGTGGTTTTATTTTGATTTGTATTTGACACAGAGTGTGGCCCATGAGAGATTAAGAATTGTCAAATGGGTTAAAATGACAAAACACTGGGACAAATACATCAGAGGAGAAAAGGTAAAAAAAAGCTTTACTGCTTCATTTTGTCAAACTCAGAACAATGTGAGATATATATATATAACAAGCTCAAAATAACGGCCAGACATATGCAGGACAAGATGTCCTTCCAAATTCATTTGTGGAAGGTCTTGTCAATTTTTGAAAGGACAAAAACTTTAGTAATAAACTATTATTTCTTCTAATTTATTTATCATTTAAGTTCTAGTATTCAGAAAGATTTGCAAGCATTTTAATGGCTTGTAAAAGATTTATTTAGCGAATTGAGAATTGATTTGTCTAAAAATGTGGCAGGTCAATTTGTCTTTTCAAAACCCGATTTGGCTGGTCATCTAGCGAATTTGCAAGGACATTGTCCTTTGACCAGCCATTATTTCGAGCCCTGATATAAGCAACAACTTTTAAGACTGAAATCTTGGATAGCAGCTAAGTTTATTGACAAAGAGTAACTTACATCATTCACAATAACATTACAGTAAGTTTTTKAAATGAGTGGGTACCCTGTGTAATGATACATGATTATTGTTTCAGCTGAGAAAGAGAATATACAAAGGGATTCCCAATTCACTGAGAGGTGATATATGGAAAAGATTGCTGTTAATAGACAAAATCCCTAACAGACAGCGCACTTATGAGGTAACTCCATCATATTCATTCATTCATCCATCCATTCTTTCTTTCATCTTATGATTTATTTATTTTCAAATAGGACTTCAAATCTCTTGCAAGAACTGCATCACCTGATATTAGACAGATTGACCTTGACGTCAACAGAACCTACCGAGATCATGTCATGTTCAGAGAAAGATTTGGAATTAAGTAAGATTTAAAGAAGTGTATAGTAAAAAGTAGGCTGTGTATAGCAGTACCTCATGACTTCCCCCTTCCTTACCAAATTGTCCCTGTGTGGGGAGGAGTGATGCATGCTGTATGCAGCCAGATCAGAATCTATTTGATGGTCAATACTATTTGTTAATCATGTTCTTTGTTCACAGACAACAGGCATTATTCCATGTCCTTGCAGCATATTCAATGTATAATGTGGTAAGACAGAGCTAAATGTTCATTTAATCGCTCATGTATAAATCATTCGATATGTACCTCATTGCCTCGTAAATAGAGTGAATGCCAGGAATTAATAACTACATGTTTATTTGTTAGTATTTGATATGTGTCACCTTACTATGTAGCTTTATTTATAAATGTTTCTTGTTGTTACTATTAGGAGGTTGGTTATTGTCAAGGAATGAGTGGAATTGCAGCTTTGTTGCTTATGTATCTCAATGAAGAGGTAAGTCTTAACTATAATGTGGTTTCAAAGCCATCTTGTACTTATTACAGAATGTAATACCTTTTTTAGGATGCTTTTTGGGCCCTCTCAACACTACTTACTGGACGGAAACACAGCATGCATGGTAAGAATGAGATCCATTTGCAGTACGATACTTTTGGCCAGGGGAGAGTAATTAGTACAATCTTTTGTTTTTGGATAAAAACAGCTGAGGGTTTTTAGAGAGCTTACAAGAATGCCAACAAGTGGGAATTTAACTGAATTTGTTGGGAAATTGTCTAGGTTACAGCTGTTTTGTGTTGATTAGAATTGTCTTTCTCTGTTTAGGGTTCTTCATTCCTGGATTTCCAAAGTTGTTAAGATTCCAGGAACACCATGACAGAATACTAAAAAAGTTGTCTCCAAGACTATTCAAACATCTGGTGAGCTATTATTGATTATCATGCTTATTTTCTGAAGACTGAGAACTAGAGTGATAAAAAGACTGGCAACTAGAATGCTTTCACTGTATCTGTGAAATATTTCTTACAAAATTGTGCAAGTTAGTGTTAAAATTCTCTGTCTAGCRAATATAAAGAATGCATTTTTTCAATGTTATCATCATGTTTTACAAGGCAATTCTTGGATTTGAGATTCCTGTGGGAAAATTTTCATCTCCATACAGTAGCAAGGCCTCACTCGATTACTCCWCTAATTCTCTACAATTATGCTACTAAAGGACAATTTCCRAAGATTTTCATCTCCAGTTCTCATGACAAAGGAAGGCTATTTGGGTTGCGTTGCTCATYACTATGTTCTTGTTTTTCKTCAGGAAAAAGAAGGCTGTCACAGTAGTCTCTATACATTGAAATGGTTCATGCAGTGCTTTTTAGACAGAGTAAGCTTTATATTATTTGTTGTTTTTTCATGTAAATTTACTTTTGTTTTTAGTTAATTCTGTACATTATTTTCTTTAGCTTCCTTTCTCGTTGACGCTAAGAATATATGATATATTCCTATTGGAGGGAGATAGAGTCTTAACTGCAATGGCATACAATATTATGAAGATGCATAAAAGTAAGTGCTGATATTTTATCATCACTATCATAGTTTAAATATACATGTATCAATTAGTGTCTATCATAACTGAAATCGTTGAAGTACCATTGACATCAAAGTACTACAGTGGTAGCTCTATTAAGTGGTCATCCATGGGAATTTCTTAACCGATCGTTTAACTGAGGCTGGCTGTTAAATAGAGGCTGAATTGAATATATATATATATAAGCATAGTTAATATTAACTATGATTTAAGGCTTATTATACTGTGTTTGCCTCAATGTAGGCAATACTGTAGTATCGCTATCGTTATCATATTCATATTCACTATCACAATCAATTCTGTAGTTATCACAGAGTCAACACGCGGTATATCCGTAAATTAGAATTAAGCCATTAAAAGCGTACGTTTTACGCATGTGGTGACATATTATTTTCTTTACTGTAGAAATATTTGCCAAAATGAGTCTTGAAGAAGTTGTGCAGTTCTTACAAGAAAGCATGCACATGTATCCTTATGATGACGACGAGGTCGTTGAGCTTTTACAGTCATCAATGTTTGAACTCAAGAAAATTGGACTCGACGTACCCCCACCCCCTAAGAAAGAAGAACTTCCCCAACTACCCCCTGGTGCGTCACTCAAACGAGGCTCATATCAAACAGCTTCTTACCGCGCCAGGAAAAACAAAGAAAGAGAAAAGATAATTACAGTTCCAGTAGAAAGACCACCTTCGCCTGAATCTCCTGTGAGGATCTCACCGATAAAAGGTCTTCCAACTCGACCCGACAGTCCAAGTTATAGCGAAAGTGAGTCTATGATGTCGATGTCAACAATACACGATTCACTTAACCCTGGTTCGAGATCGAATGTAGTCGATACCGACAGGGGACGAGTGTCGAGTGTCGACCTCGATCCTCGGTCAATGGACAATAGAAATAGACGAAGACCACAATACCAAGAGCATAGAAAGAGTGACGGAACAGAGCTAGAAGAGCCTGGCTTTAATTCTATTCCCTCGAAATTGTCCTACCACTCAGAGAGCGTTCTCGTTCGCCGRGATGACGTCATAAGTCATCACCTGACGTCACGAAAACCCGCTGAAAAACAAATGTCAACGTTTCGACCAATTAACGGCGACATTGATGCGTTGAACGGTGGAGCCAGGCCTGATAAATCGCCCGTGTGGAGGACTAGAAATGAAATGGATTCCTCGTACCAGGTGTCTTATACTTTCGTCTGAACACGGAACTTAAAAATTACCATATATGGAAGTCACGTGATGTGTATTATAACCAGTTGGAACTCGTGGAGTTTTTGACTGTAAATGAACTTAAGGCATAAGTCATTGAACTGCTTTTAGAGAAAATAAGATAAAATTGCAATACAAAATCGCTGATTAGAATAAGATTTTTTTGGTAAATATAGAGTTTATATTTTCAAGGTTTTTACTAGATATTTTATTTTTATTAGTTTCACATAACCTGCATCTATTGGAGATGTCTTGGTTATGATGTAATGCTTTTTATGATTACTATTGATCTTTGATGAAAGAAATCGACACTAAGGTGCCCTGGTAAAAAGTGGACAATAGAAATGGGACCGGGACGCAGTCTCCACAGATAATTGGTTCACTTACATATGCTGTAATGTATAATCTATATATATTAGCTGATTAAATAAGATAATTATTGCAAATATCGTAGAACGATCATGGATATCATACTTTGTTTTGAATGATTAGCTGGTTCGCACTGTTATCGTGATGTTCTCGTAAAGTGCTCGTAAAGTTGTCGCACCTTCTTCGTGTCTTGTGTCACTCGTGTTCTATGTATGCACTCTCTTCCATATAAGGGTAATCTTTAAGTTTCCGTGCACCATTCATTATTGTTTTGCACATTAATTATAAATAAACACAAATATTTGATCAGATGTTCTCGAATGTTTGATCAAATATTTTAAGTAATTGGTTATACATAATGTCTTTAAGATGTTAAACTGTGTTCCTTTCTTTAATTCTGCTTCTGCTGCCAGGCTTAATGTGCACGCTATTTAATAGTCCAAGTGATATAACTCATTCTCAGATCAAAAGTTGAAGGGCTGGATTGCTTTACGTGAAGATTGACTTAAAGATTAATACAGCAAGCAGTGTTATCTCAAACCTTTGTTTAGTATAACGCTTACTATTGCATGGAGGATTTCAACATGTGTTGAATTGAAGATTTTCAAAACTATATTCGCATAAACACTTGTTTGTCACGTGACCCATTACAGACGATTAAAGGGAAACAAATTATTCACCAGAAATCGATATGGTTCTCACATCAACCCCCGCCTTGAACGGGAAGCCCCTCTTGTTAAGATAACGAAACCATTGAGAGTTCAAATTATTGTAAAACTAAATGACTGTTTTTGTAGGAACGACGCAGAAGTAGCTCGTCGTTACACAGAGTGAGAGCTGACAGCAGAACAAGCGTTAACAGTACTTCCAGTCAAATCAGTCAAGCCAGCTACCAAAATGTGCATTGGGAGACATCTAAAGCTAGTTTATATGAAATAACTGAACTATAGCTTGTACCAAATCACTGAAACTTTATCCTTGAAATGTGGATATTCTTGGAATATTTACCTAGCTTTGCCGCAAGTAACTTGTCAAATTGGTAACGCTTGCTACCAGAGTACAAGACACATGCAGTGAAAGACGTCTAAAGACAGTTTACATGGATTAACTGAACAATATAGCTTGAGAAATGCCTGGAACTTTGTCCTGGAAATCTGGATTTCCTTGGAGGTTTTACCTGCATTACAAGGAGTAGTGATTTATAGTGATTTATCAAATACATGTACATTTGTTGGTATAACTGAACTATAATGGATTCTCAAGATGGATTCCCAGTTACAGCCCTCAAGCATTCACAAGTTTCTGTTATTTGAAAACTAAGCGATTTTGTACAGATGAGACTAACTGATATGACGTCATGCGTTTGACGTCATCTTGTGATACACATACTCCCTGTTAAACATAAGATGACACTGCGTCAGTGTTCTCGTTCTGAAACGATATTTGATGAACCTTAAAACAAAAAGACAGTATGACGAACAAAATTTAGACAATTTTGGACTTTTTTGTCTTCAATTCTGTGATATCATGCATATTAAGATAGATCGCTTTGTTTTAGCCTCATCCGAAGACGTTTGAAAGGACACCAGAGGAACCCCAAAAGGGTTGCTTGCGGATGAGTTTTTTTATAGTTATTGTACATACTCGAACCAAATTGTTTTTCATGTTTAAAGCTTTAAATTATGCATCGTTTATTTTACTATTCAGCCTTTTAAACTCCCGTACGGAAGCCGATAAAACCAGGGATGTAATAGCCTTTTTAATGTTCGGAAAAGCGTGAAATGAAAACCTCCTACTATTGTTTCACGGGTTAATGAATGACCCTAACAAACCTTGGTAGTCGCTTATTCAATTATTTTCTTTTGTGTCTGAAGCTGAATATTAACCATTGAGTATTTTGTTATGCCGTTAAATCGTGGCAAAATTCAAGCCAGGATTTGAGTTTTCTGTGAAAAGCTCAGAGCTTTAAAATAGTTATAACGATGTCAACGTTTCGTATTTTTATATAAATGTGTATATGATTTTAATGTGAATTATATGATCAAGCCAATGATTAATAACTAGAGAATTGTATATTAAAATCAAAGATTATTTAACGGTGTGGTTTGTTTTTACTTATTTATGATTCTGGGTAGCCTGCGTTGCCGGTGATCTGCGGTTTACTGTTATTAAATGGGACCTTCAACAACCTTTGTCCCAAAGTAAAGATGTCCCTAGACAGCCATATTTGCATTATGATATATGCAGTTTTTTATTTCACAAGCAACTTCTCTTCAAAATCCACCTTCGTTATCATTAGAGTTATTAAAAAATAAGTAGTAAAATTATTATCTGTKTGGGTATACTATGTTGAATTACAACCTAGCCCCCTCTGGGAAATGACTGGTTTGACCATGATTTGATTACGTCATTTTCTATWATTTTTTTCACGTACAGTATCTAGTTGGACGTAAATTTCTCCGTCACTAATCAAAATAGCAGACATTTTGTATATTTGCTGTTAAATTACTATGTTCTCGATGAGAAGTAGATTTATATATATATTATACCTACAAGTATTTTTTTGTATGTTTTGGTAGTTTTTTTGTAGGTATTTGTTGTYGTTGTTGTGGGTTTTGATTAGTTGGTTGGATAGCCGAATTCACGTGCGTCGTCTTCAGTAAAGTCTCCGTAGCGCCACAAGTTTAACTGAAAGTGAAAAGAAATGAATATCAATACACCAGTYTTTCAGTTCCCGTTWATCTTTTCTCTCTCATTTTACAAAGCATTATGGGAAGGAAGAAAGACCCTTCTTTACCTTCATGCGAGAAAGACGACTGGGGACTCGTCAGGTTACAGCTAACTCTAAGAATTTATTTTGCGGCATTGATATTGCATATGCGGCATTAAAGAASATTTCTCTGCAATAATCCAGTTTCRAATTCTCCAATGCTCTGTGTGTTAGTCTCATTTGCGCGCAAAATATTCCTAATTGTGAGAATAAAAGTGTGAGATTTCAAATCAGTTCTATTGTCTTTCTTTTCAAATTCCATGCGTTTTCTCGGGCTATCAATAAAACAAAAGTATATGTCACTTTTGAGGTTTTGAGGCTAACAAAGAGCAAACCAGAACTCGAAATCGGAGTATTTCTGATGATTTTAAACCTAACTCGTTCCCAGTTGTCTTGCTTATAGTCATGGGAAGGTCCCATCATGCTTTGCAACACCACAAGAGAGAAGCACAATATAAGACCAGGAGCGGAGGAGCGACCTGACCGACATTGGGCAAAATCGCAGTAACATCATTGGTAACCACTCTGCCACGTGTTACATGTCACGTGAGAGATCCCGACATGCATCACAGTCAACTTACTCTCGCTTTGCGTGCTGCGTCTTGGCTCTTCTGATATTCTTCCATGATTTTCAGTAGCCTTTTTTCTCGACGTTTTTCACAAAGTACAAGGCCTTCCTGTACCAATGCTTTTCCTACGTCCACAGTGTCGAGCATCAATGTCACGTGTTCCTGTAAGATTAGAATACGTTACGCATTTTGAAAGTGTCACGATACGTTGTCACACAACGCTGCTATGACTTACCATGCCTTGATTCTTGTACTCAACGTTCAACAGAAACTGCNTAATCAATTATCTGTTGAATATTGCACAGCTCTAAATTCACTGATCTGGCCGACAACGGCGAGGAACTAGCAATTCTTCATGAACTGTTTTGGGCTGCATCACGATATTTGCTGACTGCCTTTACGGAAACTGCAACTTCGTTCAAAGAAAACCTTTTTAACCTGCCTTGATTGGAAGTGAAAGTTAAGCTAAAAGACTTATAAATACTGGAGTCATCTGTCTACAAGAAAATACCAAAATGAGTGAGTATAAATATTGCGAATATTTTCGAATCATTATTCGAAATGATGCATTTCAAAGTTCAGTCCTGAGTGAAAACGTGTATTTATGCCATGAAATTTGAGATTTGCTCTCTAAATTGTTCTTATATTTGTCATTTATCATATGTGTTGAGTTTCTTAATGTCTAATCTACAGTTTAGCGAAATCTTTGATTTCTTCATGGCTGCTTCGGTAAATATTGACGAACATAACTTGAAATAATTCATCCACGAAATCGACTTATTGGACTTGTAACTGAAGATATTAATGCTGAATTATGTAGTCAAATTTGGCGATTACGAGTCGTGTGCTATGATGTTGATAAAATATAATGAATTGCTACGAGATTTGTTTGAACAAGGAGAAGTAGGAGTAAATTTGGAGACCAATTTCTCACGCCACACCTCGCGATTTCTCCACACTATGTTAAAACACTTCATTCAGATCTTGCAAATTACCTGTAAAATTCGAAGAGATAGCTTATCTTCATGTTATTCCGATTGTTTTAAATCTGCCTGCTAATTATGTAGCTATGATCATTATTGGAACTAAATTATTGTTAATTGTTTTGGAATCTTTATAAAGAAGTTTAATTGATTTACATGTAAATGTGTTCAACACCATGCTTTCTTCATAATAATAGAAAATGTCTTAAAGACCTCTCTAATTTTCCTCGGAATTATGCCATGGCTAATTCCATTTTGCCTCGTATTTTCAATACAACATTTATTATGTTTATAAACAAAAGGAGAATCTCTTACAGTAGGGTTTGAAAGGCTTTCAGATAGATTCACACTTTCTTCAATTTGAGGTGTTTTTGATCTGTCTTAATATGATAATTTTTATGGTAAAATATTCTGAAATTTTTAGTGTAAAATGTTGAATATTTGGACATTCAACACAGCTGTGCCAATATACATGGTATATTTGAATGTGAAGGATTTCTTGTRACCACAGAGTACTTCACTGTGGTTACTTGRACTTCCTACAAATTCAGACAATACTTGCATGTAGGCACATAATAATTGTTTGACACCAAAATGAAAGCTATTTCTTAAGTAATGTTAAGGTGAAAGAGATATAGCTCTGGGGCCTCTATGTTCTAAACATCATGTTCAATTATTAGAAAGAAGTGAAAGTTCATGTAATCATTGGGAACACTGGCCCAAATGTTAATCTAATTGAAAATGAATTTAATATGTGATATTCTGGCCTTATGAATAGTATATTACTTCATGAACTATATTTAAAATTGCTTTGATTTAAAAGCCTATTACCTTGTGAAACAAAGGCTATTACAATGTAAAACAGGGAAATTAAACCATAGTTTTGAAAAAAGACTAAATCATTGATGTTATTTTCAATTTCCAATGCCTATTTTGTCATGAAAAAAAAACTTCTGACCATCATGCTTTAAACTTTCTGTGAATTGAAAATGCCTACCTAATTTTTGCTTGTTTATAAAGAACAAAATAAAAATCTAACATCTGCATATTTTAAAATAAACATAAGCTTAACTATCCTTTCAAATACAATGAAAAATTACAAGTGACAAATGAAAATACCTGTGCATGCATTTTCTTTGCTATTGCAAATAATATTGAAATTCAAAAATGTCAAGATAATAAGACCATATTAGAAAGTATATATTTTAAGATGTAAGACATGATCTTATTGTCTGATATTCATGTTTATATAAGAGTTCAGAGACATTGTTTGACATTTTTATATAAAAGAAATATTAAACAAACTATGGAGTCTCTGTCCTYTGATAAAAACACTTGAAAAAAGATTTAGAGCACTTGAGATGTTGGTTTAGTGTATACTCTCCAGCTCCAACTATGTCTACATCAGAAACAGCTGTTTCTTGTTATTAAACTGCAGCACATGAATCAGTAATGTCTACAAGTGTGGGCTGATATTCTATGTTTATTGTGCTGTTATATGTGCCAGTTGCTTGYCTTCCCTTGCTTTGCTCTAGGCACCTACCCTCCATCGTAAYGACAAGTTAATTTAAGTAATTGTTTATTTTTCAGGTCTCAATTCATTAGACAATGATGACCATGAAAATAACAAAGCAAGAGCAGCTATCATTGCAAGATATGACCGGGTATGAGTGTGTGTAAACCCCTCTCCCTGGTGGAGATGTTTTGATGTTATCCCCCTCTCCCTGGTGGATATGTTTTGATGTTATCCCTCTCCCCCTGGTGGAGATGTTTTGATGTTATCCCCTTCCCCCTGGTGGAGATGTTTTGATGTTATCTCCCTCCCCCTGGTGGAGATGTTTTGTTTATCCCCCTCCCCCTTGTAGAGATGTTTTGATTATCCCCCTCCACCTAGTGAAGCTGCTTAAGTTGGAGCTTCTTTTAATAAACATTCGCAAATTGTATATTTATCAGGGTTACGATGATGGTGCTGAGGTGGATGACTGGGAAGATGCAAACTTTTTTGTTTACAAAGTGACAGACAGATATGGGTTTTTACAGTAAGCATCCTATGAACTATTCTCTCAAACTGTACATGTTGAGAAAAAATTGCAMAAATAATGTTGGTTTTAAAAGAATTCTGAGCATTACTAATTTTTCTATATTTCCATTTAGCAAAAATCCTTTATCTGAAGATCAAGATCCCAAGGTTTGTTGCAGTTTTTTTAGTCCTTTYGTTYTGATGTCTTCCTCACTTGTTTATCAGCTTCTGTCCAGACATTCCTCATTTTTGACTTTAACCAAAAAAGTTACAGATGCTTATATGAATACAGTTAAGCTAAATTAGTATCCTAGGACAGTCCATTATTGCAAACATTGACTTGTGGTTTTATTTTGATTTGTATTTGACACAGAGTGTGGCCCATGAGAGATTAAGAATTGTCAAATGGGTTAAAATGACAAAACACTGGGACAAATACATCAGAGGAGAAAAGGTAAAAAAAAGCTTTACTGCTTCATTTTGTCAAACTCAGAACAATGTGAGATATATATATATAACAAGCTCAAAATAACGGCCAGACATATGCAGGACAAGATGTCCTTCCAAATTCATTTGTGGAAGGTCTTGTCAATTTTTGAAAGGACAAAAACTTTAGTAATAAACTATTATTTCTTCTAATTTATTTATCATTTAAGTTCTAGTATTCAGAAAGATTTGCAAGCATTTTAATGGCTTGTAAAAGATTTATTTAGCGAATTGAGAATTGATTTGTCTAAAAATGTGGCAGGTCAAT